AAATAATTCGTTCTTATTGCGAAATAGAAGCACTATTTATCAATCTGTAATAAAAGACGTGAGCAAATTCCGTCTTTTTTAAAGACAAAAATTTTTGAGGCAAAATACCCAAAAAGAAGTTTGTAAAAAAATTAATCCGCCTCAACAATACAGAACTTATTTTCAGTTAACGCACAGCAGCGAGATGCGGCCCATAAGTCCAGTGCTGGAAGCTCCTGGGAAAACCGCCTTTCTAACCGAAGATCCCAGGGATATCATTAAAAATGGTACCTACAATCAGGTGCCGATCGTGTTGGGCTACACCGACAAGGAAGGATACCTTTTGGACTTTATGCGTGCGTTGGTGAAAGAGGAACCCAAACCGCTTGAATTGGAGAAAGAGCTTCCGTTCGAGCTGAACCTAAAACCCGATAGTGACGAACTGAAAAAAGTGGTCGCACTTATCGGGAAATTTTATTCTGAGAACCAATACGATGATTATGACGTAAGTGGGCTCAAAGTCCCTTTAAGCAGGCTTTGAGTACAAATTCTGGGGCGTTTTAGATCATTACAGACTCCTGGTTTTTGGCTGGCATTGTCGAAGCCGCAGAAAAACACCTGGAGACCTCAAAACATCCCGTTTACTTGTACAGAATGTCCATCTGTTCAAACCTGAACTACTTCAAGGCAAAAACGCGTCCTCTGGACAGTGCTGGTAGGATTTTCTTTGGGGAAACTGCAGCTGGATTTAAAAAATTTCTTATCAGGTGCCAGCCATGCAGACGACTTGGGATACTTGTGGCATATGGAGGTGACTCCGGAGTTCGAACGTGGCAGCGTGGAAGATCGCTACATGCGAATTTTCGTCGATCTGTGGACCAACTTTGCCCAGTTCGGAAACCCCACAGTGGACGATTCGTTGGGCGTTTCTTGGAGCCCAATTGAGCGCAAAAAGGAGCTTCGCCTTCTGGATATTGGCCAACCGCTTGCGGTTAAACACATTCCGGAGATCGACCGAATCAACTTGTGGAGGCAAATATACAAGTCGAATTTTCCCAAATTTTCTTAAGACACTTTTTCATAGACTTTCACAGTGGATGTGGTTTGGGCGGTTTAAAATGGATTTTTTCTTAATAAACTAACAATGCAAGCGAGTGGTTTGCTTGGCTGATGCAACAGAGGTGAGCCCAGTAAAGGCAGGAAAAGTGTGCCCAAGCACAGGGAGGTGAAGATGAAGAATGAATAATACGAATGCGATAAGTGATTGGCAAAACCTGATGTTGGCTGCCAATAATTCCTCGTCATCTTCGTCTTCGCCCGAATTTTCCCTATGGCCCTTTGTTCGGCTTTAGTTTCGCCCTCAGCAACGGATTAGGTAAACTCTGTCGAACCGCAAACATCGTTTGGATGTAGATCAGGCCGGATTGGCTTTCGCTTTATTTGCGGCAGGTTGACGAGGAAAAGGGGCAGTGGGAAAATGACTGCGTTTATCACTAGATGATGCGTGAAAATCTCAACTCGACCAACCCAGGGTTTTCCCTCGTTTCTTTCGATGTAGGGAATATTTTGCGTGGAAGGTTGAATCATCGACAACGTTCTACTAACTAGCGTGCAAAGGAAGACATAATACAATCCATAAGATCAGAGCTGATGCATTATTCTCCTTGGAAAGCTGAGTGAACATGGAACAAAGCCTAATAACAGTGGCTTAGATAACGCTTCATATTTAAACAGAATCTGGCAAAGATTGATTAATCACAGCGAAACCAGGAAACGTGTAAACGTGAACAGTTAATCACGCCCTGAATTATGTTCGGGTTCGTTGATTGAAATGTTTTCACAGCAAATTAAATTATGTAACGGGTGGCATGCCCGCAAAATCACCAGTGCGGAATATTGTGCGCAAACTAACGCATAAATTAGTCATTTCAGGTGAAATCTGTACAGGAAACCTGCCGGTTTCATTAATTTCATTAGCATCAACCGGCGAGGAGCAACCTGGAATTATCTCTAGACATTCATGCCTCTTCAACTGGGAAATCGGCATTTTTCTGGATGGAATTTCCCAAATTTATAATTCCTGTCAAATTCTTTGTCCCAACCGAGTTTCTCTTGCAGTACTTCCGACAGAAAACCGTTGCAAAAACCAATTATTTTCTTTACCTGGACCGGTTTGCTCGCCTAATTGCCATCTAGAGGCCATCAGGCCGAAGTTTTGGCGCAGCCGAAGATGCTTTGCCGGAAAACAACACCCATTTTGCATTATAATAAAATAACATGGCCGCCGCTTTATGGGCCAAAGTACGAATTCAGCGGAAAACTTCCAGTTTTTCCAACTTAACTTGAAGTTAATATTGGGCTCCCCAGTTGCGGGTTAGAAATCGCTTTATTTCCGTTCATACCTTTAAACTAAACCATGTGTTTCTTTCCACAAAAAAAAACGGTTTTGAAGCTCTAAAAGCTCAGGCTCAACAGGTAGAGGATGCTTTTCTTCTATGTGCTTCTACACCCCTCAAAAACATCAAAATTTCGAATACAAATTTTTCTGCTTTAAAAAGTTGCTCTTGGTCAAAACCTCTAAAGTTACTCGCCCTCGCCTATGATTAGAGGTTTCCATTAAGAACTAATCATTAAGAATTAATAATTTTTTAAATGTGCTTTATTATAACACAGACACAAGCGATTTACTCGCAGGACCACAGACTGTGAATTATTATAGATGAGGTAAAACACAGAGAACATAGATAAGGTCTAAAAAATCTGGATTTACTTTGTATTTTCGCGTGAAAGCTAGAAACATTCTAATTTTGATTTTAGTACGGAAAAGTGCGCATTTTGAGTCTCTAAATATGAGCTCTAGACTAAGGGCGGTAGTGGAAAATCTGAAATTGGAAATCGGATTGCATTGTAGTGGAAAACCAGAAACACTCTGTGTATTGTAGTATATCTTGCGCCAAAACGTGCGAAATTTAACGTTTTATCATGCAATTGGAACTAGTTTTTTGAGACTCAACAAATTTTCTAAATATGAGCCAAAACCCAAAAGCGTTTTCTGAATCAGCATTGATCGAGCATTTCCGATTTTTTCGAGAAAACTAGTAACATTTTCATATAGTTGTTTTATATAAAACACTGAAAAATTTAAGGCTCTACCGGGCAATGAGAATGATAAATTTGAGGCTCAATTGACTCAAAATATGCGTCAAACAGTAAAAGCGGTTTTGAAAATTTGCGTTTGTCTTGGACTACGCATTTTCCATAAAAAAAAACTAGTAACAATCGTATATTGTCGCTTTATACAAACATACTCGCAATTTAAGACTCTACCTTGTAATGGGATTACGATCTCAAAGGCTCAATTAAGGCTCGAAATACAAGCGAAAAACTAAGAGCGTTTTACAAAATCCGCGTTTATTTTGGATTTCGCATTTTTTGCAAAAATTAGAAACTTTCCCAAACTGATCTTTTACACAATAAAGTGAGCAATTTAAGGCTCAATCTGACAGTGAAGACAAAAACTTTGAGGCTCAACCTAGTATATAAATATCAGCCAAAAGCTGAGAGCGTGAAAACTAGAAACATTCTTGTATAGTTCTTTTATATAAAACAATGAACAATTTAAGGCTCTACTTGGCAATGAGAATGAGAAGTTTGAGGCTCAATTAACTCTCGAAATATGAGACAAACAATATGAGCGATTTTGAAAATTTGCTTTTGTCTTGAATTCCACATTTTTTATAAAAACACCAGAAACAATCCCATATTGCCGCTTTATAATAGAAATGCGCACAATTTAAGGCTCTTCTTGTGTTGAGAAGACAAACTTTACGGCTCAATCAAGGCTCTCAATACAAGCCAAAAACTGAGAGCGTTTTACAAAATCTGCGTTGATCTTAGATTTCGCATTTTTCGCAAAAACTATAAAAATTCGTAAACTAACGTTTTACACAAAAAAGTGAGCAATTTAACTCTCAATCGGACAATGAGGACAAGAACTTTGAGGCTCAACCGAGTCTTTAAATATCAGCAAAAAAGCTAAGAGCGTGAAAAATAGAAACATTCTTGTCTGGTTGTTTTAGTATTAAATGGTGAACAACTTAATACTCTACTTTTCAGTGAGAATGAAAAGTTTGAGGCTCTATTGACTCTCGAAATATGAGCCAAAGAGTAAGAGCGGTTTTCAAAATTTGCAGTTGTCTTGAATTCCGCATTTTCCATAAAAAGCACTAGAAATAATCCTATATTGTCGCTTTATACAAACACACGCGCAATTTAAGACTCCACCTTGTAATGAGAATACGATCTCTCAGTCTCAATTAAAGCTCTAAATACAAGCCAACCAAAAACTAAGAGGGTTTTACAAAATCCGCGTTTATTTTGGATTTCGCATTTTTTGTAAGAATTAGAAACATTCCCAAAATGATCTTTTACACAATAAAGTGGGCAATTTAACGCTCAATCGGGCAATGAGGACAAGAACTTTGAGGCTCAGCCGAGTCTCTAAATATCAGCCAAAGCTAAGAGCGTTTCCAAAATTTACATTTATCGTGTATTTCCGTTTTTTTTTGTGAAAACTAAAAACATTCTTGTATAGTTGTTTTAGTATTAAATTGTGAACAACTTAATACTCTGCTTGTCAATGAGAATGAGAAGTTTGAGGCTCTATTGGCCCTCGAAATATGAGCCAAACAGTAAGAACGGTTTTCAAAATTTGCATTTTTCATAAAAATACTAGAATCGATCCCATATTGCCGCTTCACAACAAAAATGCGCACAATTTAAGACTCTAGCTGGTATTGGGAATAAGAACTTTGAGGCTCAATCAAGGCTCTAAATGCAAGCCAAAAACAAAGAGCATTTTACAAAATTTGCCTTTATCTTAGATTCCGTATTTTTCGTAAAACCGAGAAACATTCATAATCTGATGTTTTACACAAAGTGAGCAATTTAATGCTCACTCTAACAATCAGGACGAGAAATTTAGGGCTCAATCTAGTCTCTAAATCACAGCCAAAAAGAAGAAGCCTTTTCGAAATTTGCATTTATCGTGTATTTCCCTTTTTTTTCGTGAAAACTAGAGACATTCTTATGTAGTTGTTTTCATAGTCTAAACCTTTAAAGTTACTCGCCCTCGCCTAATATTAGAGATTTTCATTAAAAACACGTTTTTGGCCAGAAAATCAATATCCTTAAACATTTGAGTAAAAATTGCCATTTTCCTCAGTGGCTGGAAACCACAAAAATCATTTGGGGACAGAGTGAAAATCCAATCGATGAAAACTTTACGTTTTGCTTTGCTTTCTCCAAACCTTTTAAATCGACAAATCACCCTAACAAAGTTACCATAAAAGCCCCTTTTCAGAGCCTGCAAAATCCGAAATTCCCTGCAAAGCAAAAAATGAATACGGGGGCCCTTAATAAACAAATTAAAGATTTACGAATTTCACCTTTAGCCCGGGTTAACTGTCCCCCGGCTTTGCAAATTGGCTTCCAGCCCATCTAAAAATTATCCCAATTTACCCGTTAAGGAAACTTTTAAAATCCGCGGCGGGCTTGTTTTGCAACTCGTTATTCCACTCCCCCGAAGTTTTGTTTCAATTAGCTGTTCGAAACCTGCGCTTTTTCCTAATTTGTCCACCGGCCATTATAAATATTTACTTTCGAAAATTCAAAGAACTGCGTCTTGAGCCACATCGGCAAAACGTCGAGAAGCTTTGGAAGTTTCCGCTTAACCATTCGTTTCTAATTAGGAGAAATCGATGGAATATTCCGAAAATAATGGACAAATTCTTATATTATTCAGCCCTGAGCCGCAAATTTAATGCATTTTAAATATTCCCTGTAAAGATTTGAATGTGAATGATCCGATTTGAATCAGTTTTTACCTATTCACAGCTCCATTCTTGGACAACACTGAAGTCAAAAAATTAAATAAACAACTGTACAAGGTGTTCAAAATGGAAACTAGTATACAACGCCCTAATCTGATGTTTTCTGAGTAATTTGGATCCCCATTCGTCTGGTTTTCCTGAGCCCTTGGGCAAAGATTGATTTTGGTGCAAAACTTCCTTCATCTGAACAGACGCTTCTCAGCTGAGCCTCTATTGCTTTAGCATGTAGATTTCCATGACAAAGTGAAGCTTCGAGCACAAACTCCGTTAAAACTGAGTTTCACTTGAAACTCTATTAAAAGAAAACCGGAAAGCACCTGCACTTGAACATAGAAAGATTTGCACAGATGTAAAATGATGCTTTGAGCCAGTTTTCTCTAAACACGCTCACCCGACTTGAATGTGAACCGGCCCACTTGACTCGAGTGCCGGCAACTTTCGAAATCGCTTAAAGTTGGACGGGAATGAACGGTAAATGTGATGAAACTTTGCAAGTTGTTGCAGTTGTACTTACGTTCGGCTGGGGACGGTGCAATGGGGAAGTTTGATTTGCGGGGGCTGATCTTTGTCGCAGTCGGGCAAGGGCCGAACGCAACCCTTCCGTTATAGAGCTGGTCTCTCCATCACCTCTGAATTAAACAAAAAACTTGTTAAATTTCAGTGAGAGGCTCAATCTACTTTTCTAGTGCTCCAAGCAGCAGAGGAATACTGAGTTTTCGATACAGTCGAGCATTTTAGTGAAGAAAAAAATGTATGTGCCACATGTGAATGTAGGAAAAGTAGAAATCGTCCAGCAGTACCCCTACAATTCGTTGCCTGTTGGCAACTCAAAAGCTCGCTGTTCGTTTAGAACCCAGAAATAGCAGCAACTTAATCGCTTCCCTCACCAAACTGAACTTCAGTTTTGCGAGTCTCTGCAACCGATAGTTCGAAGAATATGAGCAAAACTTCCAAAGTTGCCTTAAGCCTGTCCGGAATTATTAATGGACTTCGCCACTTCAATCTCGTGATTCGGTTTCGTACAATAATTCTAAATGGAACAAAGATGTCCGAGTCGCTTATCGGAAATGCGAAGCTCAAAGTTGCAGTTTGGGACACTTTAAGTTGCACGACTTTCCGGCTTTAGATGGGGCCGTAGTCTAGCTAAAGTTGCCGCATCCTTTTCCGTTTGATTTTGTTGCCAGAAACGCCGTTTTTTTTAAATTGCATGCCGCTTTGTTAACACCTACTCGCTTTAAGCGAACAGGAAATGAAAAAGTTTAGCCCCAGCACAAGTTGAGTTTAAAAATTCAAATAATGCGCAATGTTTAATAAATGTTATCTAGCTAACTGTTTCTATGTCAGCCTGGGAAAAAGTGACAAAATATTGATTTTCCTGTTCTAAACTTTCGCTGTTGAAACACGCCGTTTGCCGGCATTTTATTCATTAAACATACCGCCGTGTTATTACAAGGAAATAAATATCAGTCTAACCGATATCCTGCGAGCTTTCATCAAAAATTTATGAAATCCTTGGACGAATTTTGGCTCCGGCTATTTCTGTGGGCTTTAAATGCGATTTTTTCCAGTCGATTAGGGATCGTTTCGATCCGTGACTGATCCCATTTTAGAGGCAAAAATGCTGAGCTCAACGTACTGATCCCCTCATATTTATCTGAGTGCCTGCTGCGAATTTTAAGTAAGACGATTAGAACCGGGCGTTTCGCTTTATTATCCTATAAATTCGGACGTCGTTTCGCGATAAACCTGTATAGGATTTGTATTTGCTCTTAACTCGTTTAAGGTATACACGTTATGGCAATAGTAACACAAACCGCAATAAAGTATGTTTATGGAGCAATAAATATATTTTTCTAGTTGTTATGGGGCTCGATTTGGATAAATTGTTATTGTTTACCAATAAGCGCATTTCTAAACTGGTATTGATGGATTTTCCTTTGGTATTTCGCCCTGCAAGTTTACAGATCTTTCGAAAACTAACTTTCACTATTTGCAATAAGACAAATCAGCTGAGCCTCAAAATGTGTAGAATTTTTCGCATCGATTAAAAAAATTCTTGCCAGTGCAATGCAAAAACAGTAATAACGTTAAATGAATGCTGTTTAATTGAGCGAATGCGTCAAATTGCAAATTTTCCGCATTTCTCAGCAACTTTCTGTACATTTTTGGAACGTGTCTCATTATTGTTCTATTTTGAACTAGAGCCATTCTGGACCATTTTCTGGACAAATTCGTTCCTGAAAATTAGAAGCAGGCCAAATGTTGTATGCAACGTTCTTTAATAGGGAAAATATTGCTCTAACGGGGCTCGAATTTGCTGATTTCTTGCATTTTACATTAATTTTTAATGATTTTTTGAACACACCACTGAGGATAGTGTTGATGACCAAGCGTTTTTCAAAAATTGGTCACTCTTGGTGACTGCAGTTACACTTATGAAGATAATCGGCAGTTAATTGCAAAACTGTTGCTCTACATATTTGGTACTTTTCGGAGTTGCGATATGTTTCATCTGGTTTGGACGAATTTTTGAATTCGACGCTAAAAATTGTTCGCTATCAAGATTGTGCCACGATTACTTCTAAAGTCTGTCACAAAAACTGCAACTAGATAGAAAGTTTACATCAACCAGCTTTAATCAAGAAAACATTTCCCGAAAATGAAGGTAATTCGCGAATTTATAAAATTTTTCGTTAATTATCAGCGGTTTATTTTAATACGTGGCTGAAGAATGTACTTTGCAG